GGCGGGGGATACTCAGGTGAAGGAGGAGGAGGACACGGTGGAGGAGGAAGTGGCCTCTCAGGAAAGGGGGGAGGAGGATATGGTGGAGACGGTGGAGGAGGGGGATTCTCGGGAGGAGGAGGAGGAGGAAGCGGATATGGTGGAGGCGGCGGAGGTGGATACTCAGGAGGTGGAAGTGGAAGTGGATACGCAGGAGGTGGAGGTGGAGCCGATATCGTTGTAGGTGAGCTTGACCATATGCTATGGAAAGCCTAGGTGGCATTGGTGAACCCAGTTTGCCTGGAAAATTTACGACTTGTTATGCAGTGGCCTCCTCACAGGTGGCTCTCAGGGGTTTTCCTGCAAAACTCAGCTGGCTTTTAGCACCATCACGCGTCATTAGCCCAACCGGATATTTGAGGAACCTTGAAAATACTCAATGACGCAGGTGGTCCACCACGCCACATCGCAAACACTGACCCGACCTGATCTTGTCTCAGGGTACGGAACGCGCCGGCCCCCTCCTCCGGCTACTCAGCGCCGGCTGGTGGCGACTTCACATCGCCGTCGGCCTCCTACGGCGCTCGGTCAGCATGTACATTGTGCCGGCGCCCGATCTCAGCCAGGGGCCTACCGGCGGATACAGCGCCCCTAGCGGCCAACAGGTAAGTGGAGTTTCGTATCGTGATGGGCGAGGTCACTAGTGTCAGTTGCTGGCGTGCGGTCATCAGACGTTGGGAATGTTCGCTGTTAGCTTAAATGTGTGCTTTCGGATGTTCTCTCTTTTCCAATGAGCGATTTCGTGAGACTTCTGAAATAAATCGTAAATAGGTACAAATTCCTGGTCAACCCGATGGCGGAAAGTTTGTGTACATTGTGTACCTCACGCCGAAATGCTCCTGTTTTGTTGCAGGGGAGTGTGGGGCAGTCCTACGGCGCTCCGTCTGCAGGCTTGGTCAATCCTACAGTGCCCATCCCAGTCGGCAGGGCAAAGTCCTATGGCGCTCCGTCTGCAGGCGTTGGTCAATCCACAGTGGCCCATCCCAGTCGGCAGGGCAGTCCTATGGCGCTCCGTCTGCAGGCGTTGGTCAATCCTACAGTGGCCCATCCCAGTCGGTAGGGCAGTCCTATGGCGCTCCGTCCGCAGGCGTTGGTCAATCCTACAGTGGTCCATCCCAGTCGGTAGGGCAGTCCTATGGCGCTCCGTCTGCAGGCGTTGGTCAATCCTACAGTGGCCCATCCCAGCCGATTGGGCAGTCCTATAGTGCTCCAGCGGTAGATTTGGTCAGTCTTATAGTGCACCGTCTCAGTCAGCGGGACAATCCTACAGCGCACCATCCCAGCCAGCGGGACAATCATACAGCGCTCCATCCCAGCCAGGGGGACAATCCTACAGCGCAACCATCTCAACCGGTGGGACAGTCATACAGCGCACCATCCCAGCCAGCGGGACAATCCTACAGCGCACCATCTCAGCCGGTGGGACAATCATACAGCGCACCGTCCCAGTCGGCGGGACCGTCCTACAGCGCACCATCCCAGCCAGCGGGACAATCATACAGCGCACCATCCCAGCCAGCGGGACAATCCTACAGCGCTCCATCCCAGCCAGTGGGACAATCATACAGCGCTCCATCCCAGCCAGTAGGACAATCCTACAGCGCACCATCCCAGCCAGCGGGACAAACCTACAGCGCACCATCCCAAGCGAGTGATTCTCTCAGCAAGCCGCAGCTGGTCGGTGTAGTCTACAGTGGAGCGACGTCGCCGGCGGCCAACAACTACGTGGACGTGGGAGGGGGCTCCGGGGCCGGCCCGGGTCAGGAGTACTCCGCGCCTCAGCCCCAGCCGGCGACGGGCCCTAGCCAGGACTACAGCGTGCCGCTACAGCAGCAGGTGGGTGAGAACGCACACCGAAAGCCATGCTTATGATGTTATCCTTATGATGGCAAGCCATGTAACTAATGACATTAAGGATAGAGTCGAACAGCTTGTTAATGCAATGACGATAATGATACAATGATAATTATTATACAAACATGATAATGATGTTGATGATGATGATCATGTAATGACGATGAACAACTGATAATATATCAGCGATATAATGCTCATTGCGTATGATGCAAAACGACATTCGTGATTAAATGAAATTATTCAAATAATGGTTGCCATGATAATGTGAAATAATGCAAACGATGATAATCATGAAAATGCCACACAACATGAATCATGGCAATTAAAATAATGTCAAATAGTGCGACTAATGAGATGAAGCTCAGGTGTATCTGGAGTGTCGCTTTTATATCCTGTCAGTCAAAAGTGTAGTTTCCGTATGGTTTGAGTTGTGATGGGCTGTAGGGAGGGTAGGTTCAGTTTGCGATGTGGTTTGAACAGGGATGAGGACAGGTGGTGGAAAAATCGGGGTGTACTTAGGATGTATCTGAGATGGCATAGCATTACGACGTGTGCACGTTTGCGCGTTGCGCAGGTTTGCTTGCGCACGTTGGAACGTTTGAATGTCCCTGATAGGGGCCCTCACAGACCCGCGTAGTGCCTGCGTTTGCGACCATATCGTGAAAAGAGGAGTAGGATTTCGATGCCGAGACCGGCACGCGATGTTAAGTCGCCGAGTGATGCCTGGTCTGATACTGAGATAACGTAGCCGATACCACGAAACGTGTGCCTGCGCTGAGGACATCATAAACTGGTACAAGCATCGGCACAGCGACACCTTTGTTTCCGGGCTCACGATCGTGTGTGACCCTGGGCTTTTATCCATAGGCGCGAACTTTTAGTTTGGATTACCGTTGACAGGTGGCGTTACTGGCGTCCAACCTTCCTACCGCGCTCGCCCAGAACGACTACGGACCGCCGTCAGATGCCGTCAAAGTACAGGTTTGTACCAGCCCCTGGCATGAGGAAGGGGTGCTGTAATGATGAGAGAAAGGAGAGAAAGGTGACAGAGCAACCTCTGTGTCTATGGCAATCAAGCAAGGACTATCAATGGGCTGTCAAAGTTTGCCGTGTCTGAATGCTGAGTCTGTGCGATTTTTGTATTCCTTTCCAAAAAGATGCAATATATTTAGAGCGTGGAAACATTCGAAAACCGATGCCATCATGGGGAAATGTGTTCAGGCCAGTCTTGATATGTTCAACGCTGTGGTATAGCGCTGAGGGCAAGAAAGGTACTCGGAATGCATGCTGCCCAGCGGGTAGGTGGGAGATGGGCAGTTGGCAAAACAAAAAATGAGCCTCTCGATCATCCCGGAAGCCATGTATTTTTATGCTCGTGGCCATAAGCGTCACAATTATTCCTAACAACTTTTCGGTAACCCAAAAGAAGGACATAAAAATGCTATTTTTATTATTTCAGGCTCCGATCACCACGCAAATCGACAACACTTTAGTGCGAAACACGTTACCGAACATCGGCTTGGACGGAGCGCCACCTATCGGGGATGTTGGCGTCGCAACCTACCAGTGACGGCCGTATCAAGGTGAGGACGCCACCAGCCGCACAGTGCGCTCTGGCATCGACATACAGCAGCATGGGATTAAAACCTTGGTGAAAATGATGGACACCCATCATGCAAATATCTAGATATGAAGGTATCGGTTTTATGTTGAAATAAGGGTAGGTGGTCTGCTACCAGTAGCCGCCGCTAAGGGAAACGTGGGCAATTCAGCTCAGAAGGGGGATTTTGGGTTACTAGTCCCAAATAATTTCAAACCTATAACAGACACCGGATTACACACGCACATAGAAGAAGAACAAACGCACACATAAACTTTGTAACTTGCAAGACTAAGATGCTTGGGGCATGCGTGTTCCAAACACAACGAAGTCGTAAACTGTGACGACGCTGGACATGCTGGCTAATAAATACGCTGCTAGTCAAATACTCTTTAACGTGCATTGTTTTATTTGAGGGCGTGATGATAATCATCTGTGTTGTGCTAATGGTCGTTTACTTAACAGAATTGTGGGTGCTTCATTTCAGTGCCGTGGCATAAACTGGTACGTCGGGTGCATTCTCCGTTAGAAAGTATTCCGCCCGTACGGGCCACCTCAAGCAGCGCGGAGTCGCCACCGTCACCATGGTTACCACGAGTGATGCTGCCCGAATCCGTCTCGAACAGTGTGGAGGCAAGATTGTCGGCTCCCGGCGCCATGACTGCCAGTGATTTTCGAGCGGATTTGCCAGCAGATGATTGGCGGTCTGCTCTCGCGCGGTCGCAAAACATGCCGAGGTTATTATTGCCGTGCGCGCGTGCCCGACAGTCATTGCATGCCGATGAGACTGGAGATGGTTTGTGTTTGCCAACCATGTGTATCGAACTTATCGTGCTAATATTGATTAGAATGTTACCTGATTTGTGAGGCATGTGGGGAGCAGTGGGCTTTGTTTATGAATATGTTGTTGATGCCAACTCGATTTGGAAAACACTTTACTGATATGGAGCATTGCATCACATCGCTGACGCAACCAGTAGTCTTGCTTTGATTCACGTGATTGCCTGTCTGTTTTTTTTCTTGTCCTGAACTCAGAGTACCTCGTCAGAATTTCAGACATGCAATCCATGAAAATATGTTTTTTTATTATAAATATGTTAGGCTGTATGACGGAAAATTAAGCTGCCGTCACCAATTACTTTACCAACCTGCTTAGGCATGGATTTTGTTTAGACGGCGCCAAAGTAGCATTTTAATTGCGACACATAAATCCTACAAATTGTCCAGTCATGTGGTGTCGGAGGCCCTTTTTACCTGCGGCGAAACGTGCGTTTCTCCATTAAAGATACACTTTAGGCCTTTAAGCCAACTAAAGCAGCAGCCTCAAAAGTATGCTCCGAGCAGTTTTCAAAACCGTAGATGACGTTGTTACGTCCGGTATCATTTAATGCATGCTCTGACCTCAATACTAAACGCATTTGCAACGTCGCTTTTGCTGTCACCAGTGGTGCAATGTAGCCATACATGTCGAGGCCGCGTGCATTTTTCCGTTTATTTGTTGCAATAGCTGCGCTCTGACTAAGTTATAAACATTAATAGGTGTCCAAAATAACTGTATGTTGTTGAGAATACTACGTCTGCTGGGAGCAACGCGTGGTGCCAAGAATAATGCGGTTGCAGAGATGATGGCGTATTATCGAAGCATGCGTGCTTTCGAGACAAATGTGTGCTGAAGTTGGTGCTCCTTGTGTCTTTGTGTTTGGAAATGTGCTTGCTGGAAATCCTCGCGAAATACAGCTGTCGAAAGAGATGTGAAGAAGCGTATTGGCTGCGTCCATTGGCGCCCTAAGTTAGTCACATGTGATTAATGTGTAGCCCAAACGAGAAAGAAATCAAGCTATATGCGCCCAATACGAAATTTAGGACATACGGCTAGTATGGGGTATTAGTCATATGTCCTTACCCGACCGCAGCCAAATAAAAATGTTATGACTCTGTTGAAAAAGCGTCAACAGCTTATGAAAGGGCTCATGTTTTAGAGGATGGCGATGGTGAGCCTGACGTCCACCAAATGTCATTGTAGTTTCATCAAGTCCCTGGTCAGCTTATATTGCCAAGGAATGTATTTCTGCCCTGAGAACTTTTGCGAAAGGGAATCCGATGACGTCCTCGATCTTTCCAGATACGCTCCCACTGATTTAAGATATCATTGGCACGTCCTAACAGCACGATCGGTATCGATTTATAAGTGACTCCATTGAGGTGGACAAAAAATCGATCCTGGTTGATAAATGTAGGATCAGTTAAAGCATGCTATGAGCTTGGATATGACCATGGATGTGTGGTATGCAGAGACGCAACCACGCGACAACCGTCAGAGAGGTCGATTCCGTTTGGTGGCATTTCTTATGGTTAAAAATGTTTCAACCTACTAAATGGCTACTGAGGCTCAGACCCTGCCGGTCGCACTGATGTGAAATGTGGTTTCATGACTAATTCAATGTTTGGCAAAGTTTAGAAGTGCTGACACTAAATACTGTAGCGGTATGAAGGAGATTGACATGAGAAGTCACAGCAACATTGAAATATAATTTCACCTTGCTTCCAGTCTCCATGATTTGTGATGGGTCTGTAGACTATTACAAACACCAATGTTTTGGTGACAGTTTAAAATCCAACGCTTACTTCTTATTTGCTGAAACTTAGTGTCCAGTTGGTGCCGCAGGAGATGAAATTTCTTCGTCACTCAGGTCACGTGAGTTCACCGTTTTACCGTGCTGCCAGATCTCTTTTCTGACGACAGAAGTTTTGCCATAATTCCGACGGTGTGCCTGATGGCGCCGACGGTCACTGTTTTACGTCAATTCAAAAGAAGAAGCGACGCCGATTTGTTTGTGGACATGCCAGGTCAAGAGCATTACATCTCACGTGCCTCCTCAGCCTGGGGTTTTAGAATTGCTGAGATTTTTATTGCTGTTATGGAAATGAAAATGCTCCAGTGAAGATGAGTGAAAAAACTGAGTGGGAAAAAGTTGAGCAGAATTGCTGGCGTTTTGTTCAAAGATCATGGTACGTTTCCTTGTTAGGGTGCCAATCTGGAAAGATATTTTCGCTTGAAATGTGTTCAATGCCCGAACCCCAAACCGGTTTCAACGACCTCGGTCACAGCGATACCCACGTTACGCACAGGAGATGAAAGTTCACTGCCTAGAAAAGGAGCTAGACTTTTTGGATAATCCAGGGAGAAAGGCCATTCTAATATAATCAAATGTTCGTTCAATCCGTGGCTGTCATGCCGTGTTATCACTCGTGGTATAAGTCGATATTTGAGTTATTCGCGGCATTCATGTGACCTCACGACTCTGCCCCCACATGTCTGGATCGGTACGAGGTTACAGAGGGGCTTCGCAAAAAGAAGAAATGACAAGGAATGTAGATAAAGGACGCTGGCATCATGTCCCTATTGTACCTAACTTTATTTTTCCTTATCATGAGGCATTTCCATATCCTTATTAGTATCATTCAATCTAATGAAATGGTTCTCGTTTTCAACAAAATTACGTCATTGTCACATCTTCTTTAATCAGTGTCATTTATTTTCCATATTTGACTGTCCACGCTGTTCCGTTGCACATGACCGCGGGCAAACTGCACACTAAGGCGGTCGGACTTCGGCTAGCGCAAGCACCGTGAGCGAGTCGGCCGCTTCCAGCCCAGCAAGAAAGACGGCAATCACCCGAAAAGCCACACCATCCGGAATTTCATCAAACACGTTTCCGATGCGAGAAGGTCTTTGTGGAGAGAGCTGAAATCGCATCGCGTTGGAGAGAGCAGCTTTGCTCGGCAACAGAGTCACAGAAACATCCAGAATGCCGAGGGAGTGCCTGAAGTGTTTTAAATCTATTGACGTGACGTAACGTGACCCACGTGACGCCACATAATTCACGCTAAATCCGTTCGGAACGAGTAGCTGCAGTCATTCATCCCACATTGTCCGGCTACGGGGCCTGTTGCCTCACCTGTTTCGCCGCCTTGACTTCTCTTGAGCGCCGCCTTGGGCATTCTATGAGGCCCGGCGCTTTTCTAAAAGCGGATCTAGCCAGACACCTGATTCAATTATTCAACAAAATCCACGTCAATATCAATCCCGCGCGCAATACAATCTCACAGGTCCCCGGCTGGCGAGTCTGCTGAATTATGGGAGCCATAGATTTGACGCCGCCTTCCAGAACCCGTGTCATAAACTGGAACGAAACGACGCCGATGCGTCCCGTTTATCCCGTGGCTCATTCCAGCGGCGCAAATCTCGACGACTTTGAGCCTAGCCTGCCTTTGCGAGACGTTAGTGAAAAGGTGGGTTGATTCAGGAATGCTGGGACTGAATGCTGGACACGGCGACGTCTCACAGAGGCTTCAGAGATATACATAACTCTTGTATGTATGTGTATATACATATATATATATATATATATATATATATATATATATATATATATATCGACATTTTTCGGTGAAAAATTGCAGCGCTATTTCAGCCCACATCAGTAACGACGAATAGCTCTTGCCATTACCTACCGCCGAAACAGTGATCGAGATATATGCATTACATGTGGGACAGCTCACACCTAAGGCACTCCTTTACGCCTTTTGTACACCAAATTTTGTTTTTACGTGACGCCCCCTTAGAAGATGTGATGTTTTTCATCAGAGCGATTCATCTTCTCTCTCCCTCTCTCTGAGCCTCCTACCTGCATATCACGCTTTTTTCTCCACACTTTCTCCAACCTAACAAATGTTGCGTCGTTAGTCGAGTGGCCCAGCGATTTAAAGTAGATAGATACGGTTTAGTCCACCGATGCTTTTTCCGTCCGGATGTTGATAGATGGTTTGCCGATCTGGTATATGGAGCCTTCCTGTCTCTCTGGCATAGCGAACACGTATCACGCTGCTTGTTTTACAAACAGTAGTTCGATCAGACGTACACGGCATTTTTGCGCTCTTTACTAAATCATGCTCATTGTGAATACGCCGAAGACGACACAAATTTTCACACTCCTGTCTTCCCCTCCTCAGGCCGTTCATAAGCTTTTTTGTCTTTGCTTGTACCAACCGATCCTTCAGGCTCACTCCCTCCGGTAAGATATGAGAGGTTGGCTGGGAAATACTTCCCCAAGTGTCTGAAGCGGTCCATGACGTGTTCTTTATTTTTAAGCAATTGTCTAATGTTGGGCAGATGGTTATAGAGAAGGTTTTGATGAACGGGACCAAGATTAACATTTTGACGCTCTTGCTCCGTCTATGCTGCAAAAAAAAATTGTTTACGCTTGGTTTTTTCAACCATTGTTCAACTATGTTTAATTGCTCCTTGGTGATAGCCCGCTTTTGAAGCCTAGCTTTCAGATCTCACTATGTCGGATGCAGTCATTTTGACCGCTACAGCCTTTTTCAACCGCATAGCTGATCCTGATAGCGCGGCCATTTTGGTGTGGTTAAGATGGTTTGATGAAAAATGTAGATAAGTTTTGCCGTTTGATGTCTTGAGAACACATCAGTTTGGATATGTCCAGCTTGTCTTACAATCACGTCTAAGAATTCCGTGTTAGTTCTGGAAAAGCCAAGGTCATCTCGAATTTTGGGTGTATGTTGTTCGTAACGCAATGATACCTTCCTAATGGCTCCTAAACATCAATCACAGATCTGGCCT